TGTACCAGCCCGCGAGTCCGAGTGCAGCAATCGGTGTGCCAATAAGAAGAAGTTGTTTCAGTGTAAATCCCATTGCCAGCTGTTCCTATGGGTGGAAAGTTAATACTCACAGCCAATAGCTGAAGAAAACAGAATGCTCAGAGAGCTTGACAGCAAAAAAACTCACGCACACAGACCTACGACCTAATGACCTCTCAGCGGAAAACTAAAACAAACTGATCAAAAGGTCGTAAGTTGCATCAATTCAACGCTGCTCATGAAAACCTATATGGTATCGGATGATTATAGTACAGTTAGCATAGTGGATGCAGTATGGGTGATCCTTTGAATACCGTATCGAAAATAAAACATGTGAGCAGTGTACAGAGAACCGCCGCGAGCGCAATAGAGACCATAAAATGTAAAAATTGGGGCGGCGAGAAATATCAGGGACTAAGTTCCGTTCAATTCAAGTCAAGTGTATTAAGGGAAATATAGGCAAACGCCTTTGATCTCCCCCGTGGTACACGGTAGTTAAGAAATGCATCGGCACAGCCGAACATTTCAAAGAAGTCGTTTCCATAATTGTAGGCGACTACTCGCTTGTTTCAAGTAATACACTCACATCTGGTGATATCCGTTAACACGAGCCAGTGGGTATAAGTGAGCAAAAAGAGCAGACAGTGAAAAAACTCCTAGGGCATCGCTCATAATTCTAAAATGAAATGTCATTTGTGGTTTTTAGGAGGAAAGCTGTCGGTCGTGGGAGAAAGTATGCGAAAGATAGGACCAGCATGCTGCTGTGAATGTTGGCGGCAGCCAAGTGGCTCATGGTGATTAATATCTATATCCGAGGGGCCACACAAAGAGGAGACCTCAGAGTCACGAGAATGTCCCCAAGAACCGGAGATGCGACCTTGATACCCCCCTGCTGTGACAAGAGCAGAGGAACCCGCCACGTCGTCAGCAGTCAGCTTTTAGGTCGATACGAGAGAGAGCGGGACAAAGCCACGTAGCCATAGGTGCAGTAGATGCGACTGCAGACGTGATAATTACAGTTCACATAGTGAGAAGAGGAAGCGCGGATATGGGCTATGCACGGTGAAAACATATTTTGATTAAAAATCAATACTACTTAAAAGCGCTATGAGTATATGTTTATAACATGTAAATGACGTTTCAATATTTGGCTTCGGAGATCTCATTTACCGCGGTGGCGCGTGAGGTGGTGCTGGTCAAGCTTCGT